TATAACTTATCTTTAAAAACTTAACAAAATAACTTTACTATTTCTACCTATATTATATTATATAACTGACGTATTTTACTACTTCTTTATACTCTATTACCTTATCAATAGCTACAAATACTTATACAAATAATTAACATACATTATTATACCCAAACAAATTACTTTTTATCTATACTTTATAGATTCTTTATAAAGTACTTATACAATCTAAGTTAAAACCCACCTAGATTTGTATAGGTACTAACAAATCTAGATAAGTTTTAATCACTCTAGTAGGTTTAGGTTGCAGATAAATCAGGATTTTAGTTTCTGATAGTCTGAGTCTCATTTTTGTAAAAATTTTTGTAAATTGGCTCCGGCCAGAGGAACCCCTAATGGATTCTTAATACAAAATATTAATAAAGATAAAGGCAAAACTTCACCTTAAAAAAAAAAAAATAAAATAACCTAATCCTAACTTAATTAATAATTTTTAAAAATTATCATAATATAATATAATGCATTTTTATATATAAATCTCTTAAGATAAAAATATGATATTTGTTCAAAAAAAACTTTTTTCTTATTAAATAAATCATTTTTGAGCTTTTAATAAAAGTTAGAGCAAGGGTGTGACGACTTAGTGAAGTGATGAAGTTGTTGCACCTCCAAGCGGTAGAGTATAAATTCAATTTCCACAGAAGGCGAAAAATTGAATTTAGAAAAACAGATTTGGCAACTATCGTCGTGGCTGAGAAAACTCGAGATCCTGTAATTGTGGTTATACTAAGATAAAAATTGGAAGGTTCTAGGGCATTTGTGTAATATAGGAGTTACACAAAGATATGCAAGCTAGTTTAGTTAGTGCAAATCCAAGATAAGTTTTTCAGAATCGCAGAAAGCTACAGAGCCAATATGCTAGTGGGGCGCTCACTTGGGAAGTTCTGAATAGAGAAGTAGCACAGATCTTTAATGGTACTACATGCAGATTAATACCTTGGGAACTGGATAAACTGAACAGGACTAAAGTGTTTAGCAAGACATTCTACCAACTAGGCCATCGAAGGAGTAACCAGAGAAAAAGAACCCAATTGTGGGGACTAGAGGCAGGCTATAGCCCTTCCGAACCATCTGGATTAGTAGTTTGGAATAGCTAGAATGACTGGAAAAAGTCTGTAGATGTACTGGGGTTTGGGTGAACTCTATAAAGGCAGTAATAGGTAACTGTAGCAGCTTCAGCTTGCAAGTACTTGTTCTTAGACTCGGCGTAAGTTACTGAAGAAGACTAGGTAATACAGAAATAGTGGGTACCGAACTGCTCTAGCAGATAATGTATTTGAAGATAAATCAGTTAACCATACTGGTAGTCCTATAGGTAGACACGATGATCTTGAAACTTGGACTGACTTATATATTGCATGTTCTGTGTGAGGTTAGATGGATTGACATAGGAAACTCAGATTAGAAGATTTAATTAGGTAATTCAAGTAATAGTGAGTTATAGGTACGGCATCTAATATAGCACCTAGCACATAAGTAGAATCACTTAATTAGACACTCAAAAGGTGCAGATATGGCTAGAATATATCCTCATCAGAATGTACTTGTCTGAGGCCCCTTTGAAAAGAGCATCACATGATCTTAATATCTAATAAAAGCGTAAACCGAAGAGGCTAACCTTAACTATAAAAAAAATAAAAAAAAAAAATAAAAGTTAGAGCTCATCAAGATGCATTTAATGATAGTAAGAATATTAAAATTAGCTTGGTAGTTTTTAAAAAACCTTTAAAAAATATTTCACTAACTATATAAAATCTTTTTTAAAAAAATTAATTTTTTTTAAAAAATTTTATTTGTTAGCAAAATGTTTTTTAAAGATTTCTTAAAAATTACCAAACCAATTTTAACATTCTTATCATAGATATATTTTGATAAGCTTTACAACTTTAGTTAAAAGCTCAAAGCTGATTTATTTAAGTTTTCTTTAGACAAACACCATATTTCTTTAAAAAATCATTACATTTTTATCTATAAGATTTATATATAAAACTGCATTGCATTATATTATAATAATTCTTCAGTTTACTAAAGTAATGTTTTAAGCTAACTAAAGCAGCTGTGATTAAAGCAGCTTAGCTGCCTAAGCTAGCTGATAAAAATATATCAGCTGGCTAATACAGCTTAAGATCACAAAACTTTAATAATATAATTTAGATAAAATAATAATGCTAGACAGAATAAAGTAATAGGTTAAAAAAAAAAAATCAAATATAAAATATAAGCAAGAATAAAAAATTTAAATAAATATCTAATAATTTCTGAAGATAAAAAATTTGGCTAGCCACTTAACCAATTTTTTTGCCAATTAGCTAAGCTAGCCAATAAAAACCTCATAGCTTAAAACACTATACTAGAGAATCATCAATTAAATAGAAAACTTTTTTGAAATAAATCGTAGTAATTTTCATCTATAAAACCTTAAATTTGATTGGCCAATACAAATCTGTAAATTTTGCAGGCTGTGAATAATAGTAATTTTCATATAAAAATATACAAACTTTAAAAACTTATATATAAAAAACTAAAATAATTATAAATTAAAATAATAAAATTTAATTTAAAAAACAAATTATAAAATTTATTTTTTAATTAATTAAAATTTAATAAACTTATATTATTTTAAAATTAACTGTTAACTAATTTTATTAATAAAAATTAAAATTTGGTCACCTTAATTCTGAGCAAAATTATCTGAAATTAATATAACTCTAACCAAAATTATAAAAAAATTTTTTATCAAATATTGATTTATATTCTAATAACCATATTATCCGATTATATTGCTTTGTTTTTGTATAAAGTTACATAATATATATTTAAAATTTGGCTATCTATATTAATAACTTGTTCGTTTAAAATTCTTATACTGTAAAACTATTATAACAAAAAATTATAAAATAATACAATTCTTACAATATATTATATTAGAAATACAGTATACAGTATTTAAATACTTATATTTTAGCTAATTATCAAATTTAAGGTTATTATATAGCTAAATATTAGACCCGTGGTTAGTTCTTAGGGTACCCGCAGCTTTATAGGCCGGGCAAGGGTATTATATTCCAAGCCAGAGTAGGGATTGGCCATTACACAGATGGGTAGGGTTAGAGTAACGCACTTGCGAAAGCCTAATATATATATCATGCTAATAGATCTCTTTGCACGCATTAGCTAGTAATTTTAGACACGGGCAGGTGCTAACTTAAGCCACAAAATAAACAACATAAAAGGTATAAAAATGAAAAAGGTTAAACTTATTTACGGTACTTACGTACGTACATACTTAAGATCTGAATATTTATTTATAGAAATTTGGATAACAATACGTATTTTTACAATGCCAAAAATGGTATAGCCCATGACAAGGAAGAGAGTTTGGAACCGGGTTATTTTTCTTATATTAAGTCCGGTTTTATTCGGTTTTGCAATAAGAAAAATAAACGAAAACCGGATCCAAACTCTGACAAGGAATTTTATTTAGAACGCAAGTGACTTGGTATGATTTACAGGATAAACCTTGTTCACGTTATATCTAATTCTGTGCCTGATTGGTTTTAAATCAGATTTCAATGTCAAACCGTTAAACGTTTGTACGTAAGAATGCTGTGGCAAGTTATTTTAATTTAAATATATAAATATAATTATATGTATTGAATTTAATTATTTGTAATATACATAAGTTAAATATATTACGTACAAAGACTATTTAAGAAAATATATTGAAATTTATTAAGTATTAGTATTAATATAGTACCTACTTAATGTACTGTACGTACGTACGTACTTAAATACTTGTTTAAAAAAAGTCAGGTTTAACAAAAAAAGAATACATACGTATAAAGATTAAATACTTTTTTTAGCACAAGATGCCATACGTAGAAATATTTTTAGGAAAAGTTTCTATTTTAAAAATTACATATGCATTAATAAAATAAAATTATATATAATTATATTTTCACCAGGTATTAAAATCATCTGATAAACTATAGTGATATTCTTGAGTGATATTCACAGTCACACGGGTTAAAATAGAATTTCACTATGTATAACTTATTTTAGATCCAATTAGTTGTATCAATTTTAATATTTTAATTAAAGTTAAGTATAATTAAAAATATATATTTACAGTATATGATGTTGTACCCCAAATGACAATCCTGTTCCGATTGCCAATTGGGATAGCCCAAATTAAAATTGGCCAAATCTAACCCTAACGTCTGGGCTAATTAATTTATAATTTTGGCCAGATTGTCATCTGGGAAAATTGTCATTGAATATTAACATGTATGTACGTACATACATACACATAGAATTACACATACACAGCATTAGTAATTATTAGTAATATGTATTTGTTACATATTGAAGGCAGACGGATAAACGTGCTCCAGATAAAACCATTTACTACCCCCAAGTTTATTACAATAGGTATACCAAAGACTGAAAATAAACATTTCGGTTTAAAAATAGTTAAAATATGTAAATACGTTTGTTTATAATTTGAAAATGGCAATAAATTGCCTAACATTTTACACAAAAATAATATAATACATGACATTCTTAAAAGTTTTAACATTCAAATTACACAATATACTATTTGGTGATTACTATTCTTGTTCCTGCCAAGAAAAAATAATCCATAAACTGACTAATAATAATTGAGGTTTCTTTACTATGTAAAAAAATAAGAACCTGAATCATGTGTTCTTTAAACTGTGGTGGTTATTTAACTCTTAGTAACTTGTTCTTGATTCATCCCAGGTGAATGTACATTCATTGGAGGTAAGGAATGAATCGGTGATCGAGACATTGGAGAAGGATCAATAGGTGAAGTTTGTTGCTGTGATTGATGACGTTGATGTTGGTGCTGTTGCTTCTGATCACGATTATAATGATGGTGGTGGTGATTTGATGTCGAGTTGTGCTGAAGTGAAGGTGTACTAGAGCTTCTAGGTTTAAGAACCGTCATATACTTTTTTGCCGGGTTCTCCTGGTTCCTTTGCACCTTCTGTCTGAGTGCTTCCATAACGTATTCATGATCAACTTCTGTTTCTGAAGAAGGTTTGGATCGTTTACCACCTGTGGTAGGACTTTGTGAGTAATTATTTGTTTGAGATGATGCAGAAGGTGGATGTTCTTGAACACTGCTTGTAGGAGTGGAGAACGGATGCGGATTATGCATCGTAGTTGGTGACGCCGTTATAATTGGGAACGACGGAATGGATAATGTCAATGAAGGTCTTTGACTCAATGGATTATAAGAATGGTTATGTGAAGATATCCCATTGTGATTATAAGATACATTATCATTTCCATGACTAGATGATGATGGCGGTGATAAGCGTGTCGCGCTTGTTGGAGTAGTGGCAGTGGCAGGAAAATGTGTATCTAGAAAGAATGAAATGAGTGAAATGCGTGAGGAAAGAAAAAATGAATGAAATGCATATATATGAGGCATATATATGAGGAAAGAACGAAATGCATGAGAAAAAAGATATACAAACCGTTTGGCGGTGGTATCGGAAGGTACGGGCTACTGATATCTGATGGCGATTTCCTTTTTAGATATAGATAGAAGTTTACATTATTACTCAATTTTCGTGAAAATTCAACTTTTATATATTTCATAAATAATTTTGGCATACATGTTAAAATTACTTGATGAATTCATCGCTGATTGAAATATATAATTACATAGGTGCATTAGTTGATTCTTAATAGTTGTATAAGATAACTAGATAGTTAAATAAATTCCGCATACGTGGTACTCCAGTGATAATAGTCGGTGGCTTCTTTTGCTCTTTTAACATCTCTAATTCCACTTGCTTGCATTGTAAACGTACTGCTTCTGTTTTATACTTTTCTTCTTCTGCACGTCTCTGTTTGAATCAACAAAATAATAAATATCCTTGTGAATTAGTTATTGCGCACTAACCAACTGTTCTGTGTTCTTTATGGCCCTTTTATGACAACTTCGGTACGAATCTGTTCCGGTGAAAGAACCGAACAAGGTGTATCTGACACAGTAGAACCAGAATCCGTTGAAAAGGAACAAGTTCATTTGGTCCGTCAAATCGAATACGTTTATATCTAATAGGTTTATAGCGTTACCTTGTCTTCTTCAGCCTTAGCTGCAAGAATTTGTTTCAATAGATCATTATTATCACGATATGTATCTAAAATTTCTCGTAAAGATATATCTGTTCTTGGTGAAGGATTTGTTGCCGGTGAAGGATAAGAATAAACTGACTGAGTTCTATGCTCTGACATTTTTTTTATTTATTTTTTATTAAGAAGTTGTATATAAAGTTATTTATGTCTTTTCGAAACTAAATAAGTGATGGTGTAAAGTGATTTTTTTCGATTTTATTATTTCTTGCTAGTGTTATTATATACTTTAAATAAGAATTTTTTTTTATACGCATTTCTTGTGTGCAAAAACCAAAAGGCTGTCATTTTTGGTTTTGTACGAATGAGTATTAAATAAGTTAAAAATATACGTAGGTTATAAATATATATGGATTTTTATTATTGGAATTGCATAATTACTGATAAAGTTATTTTAGTAAAAAATCAAAAAAATCGGTGACACGTAAAATCTTGTATCTGTGTACTAAGTAATCGTGCCGCGTTTATATCTTTTTGGAACTCTTTATCACGTTTCCACTTTAAAAACATAAAAATGCATCTGGCAAAACCAAGCTGGCTCGGGCACTTTGGTGAGAGTCTTTATCTTTTTACTTTTTTAAATAATTAATCCATTAATTCTGTCGTTTTTCCTTTATCAAAGACGATAAAAATCAAAGGACTTCAATCTTTTCGGTCCATGTTCACCCTGACGGATCTCGTTTAGCAACTGGAGGTCTCGGTACGTGTTTCGGCCTATGCTATAACTGCTTGTCACCGATCGATTAAACTCACGTTTGGCGATCAACTATTGCTAAGATTTTTTTTTTATGATAAAAATTTGATCTAAATGCTTTGATCAATTCTTGTAGATAATAAAATAAAATTATGGAGTACTGCCAGCATAATAGACGTAAATAAAGCCAACGATTCTAGTGTACCGCGTTTATTGTGTACTTTAGGTCTTCATAATGGTTCGTATTGCATTCTATTGTTTCTATCGTAAAGTTTCACAATTAATTAGAGTCTGTGTCTTGAAAATGACTTATGGACATAGTAATTGCTATGTTCTATAAGGTAATTTCAAGGCAGAAATTCCAATTGTTCTGCATTGTTCTATTATTATTCTAATATCGGTTAAACTCAGGTAATTTATTTAACGCATGTTTTTTTTTAGGTTCAGTGCTTTGCGTCAGATGGTCAAATAAAGACGGCCGATATTTGGCCTCAGGTTCAGATGATCAACTTGTTCTGATATGGGAATGGGATAGGTAAATTGATCAAATTGATTTAATTAAACAGATTAATGAATGCTCAAATATACAAGCTTACCTTCGAGTGCGATATATTGAATTAGATCGACTGAAGGATGGTCGGGAGGAAGCGTGTTTGGAAGTGGTGAACACAACATTGAGAATTGGAAGCCAGTAAGGCGACTCTCAGGGCATCAATCGGGTGATTATTTATTTACATGTCTCGTTATTCTGGCCAATTTGATTTGAAATTAATACAGCTATTGTATTCAATATTTTCAGACGTAGTTGACCTTGCTTGGTCGAAAACTAATGCCTATTTGGCATCATGCGGTTTGGATAGCTTGGTATTCATATGGGACGGCAAAACGTTTGGTAAATAATTGTGTTAAATTTACATCTCGCATCCCATGTATTCACATGTATTCACTTATCTTTATGATTTGCGCGTAGAAAAATTGTATAAACTAGATCAGCATATTGGATTTGTTAAAGGTGTCACATGGGATCCTGTGGGCGAATATCTTGCAACTGAGGTATTTCTAAACTGAATTACTGTACTTGAGCATGATTATCGAACATTACTAATAGAATGGATTGGATTGTAGTCTGATGATAAAACTGTTAAAATATGGCGAACCACTGATTGGTCCGTGCAAGCTGAAATCAGCGAACCATATACTAGCTCTCCCACAACTACTTTTTACCGTCGTCTTAGGTAGGTTCGATTATTATGTTCTCTTATTAAAATTAGCAAAAGTATTGATAGGATATAAAGTTGGTCTCCAGATGGTTCTCACGTCGCAACAGCAAATGGTGCGCAAGGCGCGGTACCCATTGCTGCTATATTTAATCGAGGCGAATGGCGTACTGATATATCTTTGGTGGGACATGATTCTGCAATCGAAGTCGTGGTTAGTATTAGCTTTGCTTTACTTACAAATAGACCAATGACTGAAGTCTTAGTGTACTCACAAAACATTAAATTATACTTAGGCGTTTAATCCAGTTCTTTTTATGATACCTGACAGTGATGACGCTGACCCCAATTCCGCAACCATGGGTAGTGTATGTGCTGTTGGAAGTCAAGACCATAGTATTTCTGTATGGGTAACGAGAAATGCCCGTCCACTCTTTGTTTGTCAAAAACCTTTTGACCATAGCGTATTGGATTTAGCATGGTAACTATATCAAAATTAATAATTTTGTAAAGTTATTACTTTTAATTCACACTGTAAATTATATGTAAATTATATTATTACCTTTTTTATAAAAGGTCACCTGATGGTACACAGCTTTATGCGTGCTCTTATGATGGTACTGTGGTCGTCTTACAATTCCTTAATAAAGAATTTGGCACTCGAGTGTCTGAGGAAGAACATGTGAGTGATTTAATTAAATTTAATTAAATTTTTGATTGCAATTAAATATTTTTTAAAAAAAAATTTTTTTTATACAGGAGAAACTCCTTACAAAATATGGATTCACAGCGAAAGAACCGATCGTTCTCGAAAGCACTACTCAACTTAATTTAGAAAGTGAATATGCGATTGCAAAACGTAAAGAGAAATCGGATCATATGGCTAATATGATGGAGCCTATGGGTTCTACAACCGTTGATATGGACATTAGTACTTCTGAACCAAGCAATAACTTAACCATTGATTCAAAAACTACTGATTTTGGATCTTCAAGTGTTCCGTCACAACCATTACCCTCGGAAGAAACGCAACAACCAATTAATAATGAAATATCTACAAACATCAATGGGGCATCGACTTCAACATCTAACACAATCACAAGTACAGCTATACATCAGCAAACCGTTACTATGACAAAAGACGGTAAAAGGAGGATTCAACCTCAATTCTTGAGAAGGTAAAAATTTATTTGACACTACATTTCTTTACATTTAAATTACACTTATTAAATCCAAATACATTTAGCAGCCTCACGTCATCTACTACGAATATGCCTTCAACTTCTGAACAAATTGTTGTTGTAAATAACTTTAAATTTATTTTTGCTTTTTATTATCATAATTATCATAATTATCAGTTTTTTTGGTAAATAATAATTTACTTTCTTACTCCACCAGGAATCATCCACGTCAAACAATGGTCTTACAAGTGCTTCCATGCCTTTACATAATAATCAAAAATTGACAACTGAAGACATATTAGGTAGCGAAATGGATGCTCCTTCTCGCGCTTTGCCACCTGGTGGAATTCCTACCTTGGTTATTGGGAATAAACGAAGTGCACCATCAGATACAACTTCTCAATCTAGCAAGCGACAAAACATATCTGGCAAGATGCAATCAGAAGTTGAACCTCAACCAAGTATTTTAAGATCATCTCTAGTCTCCCCATCCGTTGCAATGTCACAAGTAAGATTAGCTACTCATAAAGTTTTGAGTTACCTTGCTAAGGATCGTCTCGATGGTGCATCATTAAAATTAGAATGCTACAATTTTAATGAAAATAGTATGAATTTTGATATATAATAAGTCTATTTTTGAATCAATTTTTGGAAATTAAAAAAAAAAATTTTTATCTTTGTTTTAGCACCATCTCAAATAATGTGTACTCGTGGTAAAACCACTGTATGGTTTGATTATGTCCCGAGTGGGGTGATACTTATTACCGGCCATTCTCAATATTCCGCTGTTGCTTGTGAAGATGGTAGTATATATATATACACTGCTGCAGGTCGACGGTTAGTGAATTGCTTATTTTAATTTATTATTATTGTTGTTATTAAAGAGTTTTCAATTGAAACAGGGTATTGCCAGTGATAATGCTCGAATCATCTGCTTCATTTCTTGAAATATGTCGAGATTACCTTTTAGTTTTAACTCAAGTAGGACTACTTAGTATTTGGTAAGTTGATTTTTTTTCTTATGATTCATGTCAATGATATTTATTTTTTACATCATTTGTTATGCTGCCATCACAATATCTTAAGGCTAAAGTGTAGTGCCATGGATTGCAATGCAGGGATTTACGAAACCTTAAAGCGATCGTACATTCTGTATCCATTGCGCCAATCCTTTCTTCTGCATCATTAAATTCTGATGATTTTAGTTCCTCAGTGTCAATAATAAGCGCACATGTTAGATCTAATGGGATCCCGTTGTTAATCACGAGGTAACACAATTTGTTGCAGTTATTAATATAATATTACTAGAATCTCATTTATCATTTAATGCTTTAGCACAAACGATGCATGGTGTTATCATTTTGACATGCATGTTTGGACGCGCGTATACGATCCACGATATACATCAAAAGATTCAACCGGGTCAGAAGTTGGTGAAGTTAATGGTGGCGGTATATTGGCTTCTCTTGAAAATTACGCAAGGCAAGGAGGCGTAAAAAATCTTGGATCGTTGTCACATTTGAGACGATTCAGCGGAAATGATACTCCAGGACAACCAAATCATCTGATTGGTTATTTGGAAAATCAACTGGTTTCCGCTGAATTAGTCAATTCTCCTGCAGAGTATAAAAAATTGTTGTTCCAGTATGCCCAGAAAATAGCCGATGAAGAAGCAGAGTATAGATTACACGAATTATGTATTCAATTGCTTGGGCCTACAAACAAGCAAGTACACAATTTAATATATTTTGATTTGATATACTATATTATAATTTCAAGTTAATTTATTTTTAAATATATTTAATTTTATAGTACAGAAGATTTTGGAAGTCGTGCAAAATCAAATTGGGATCCATTTTTAATGGTATTGTTTTCTGTTATTCGAGTTAATTTTAATATTAATATTAACAGCTTTTCGATATCAAATTATATTAGGGAATGTCGAAACGTCAGTTACTTGAAGAAGTATTAACAATATTGTGTAAGTAGTACATATTTTAATATATTTATTTGTTACTTTTAAGCAATAATCGTTAATAATCATACTTTAAATATTATCTATGCTAGCATCAAATCGTTCTTTACAACGCCATGTAACAGAATATAAAAATGCTCTTAATAAGATTCTGAATTTAGATTAGGTGTTTGATAAAATTGTGCACCTGCTCAGTGGTGCACCATATAATCACATGATTAATTTGTGATTTGTTTTAATTTCATTATTCGTAGAGATTATGTAAATCTTATTACGTTTTTGCGCAATGATCTTCTAAATTAGAATTAGTTTACTTTATATTTTTATTCAACCTTCGCGCAAATATTACATTTGTCTTAGAGATTATTGTTTCATCTGTACGTAATATTTTTTTTCTTTTCTCTTTGCATTATTGAAAGATCTGTATAAAGGGTTGCTTATTGTGAATTATAAGGGCTTTCGTACAACTTAATAATAAATTGTTTTTATATTAAAAGTATAATTTTTTTATTTTTTTTAAATTTTAATTTTTATTTGTATAATTTAAAATCTTCTTGGATCTGAATATTAAATATAATAAAAATTTTGAATATCAAAAAATATACATTAATTTAAGGATAGAAGATATGTAGATTATTTTGTTATATGTAATTTTTATAAGAATAGAAATATGCTACTAATAATTCTTCTTACTATCGCAATTAACTTTTGTTAAATTTTATGATATATAGATTAGAATATGCTTTTTATAGTAGTAAAAGTTTCAATTGGTAAATTTAGCAAGTTGTAATATTGCTGGTTAATATTTAAAAAAAATTTTAATTATTAGTTAGAGTTAGGGTTTTTACTATTGGGATTAGGGTTAGAGTTCTTACTATTGGGATTAGGGTTAGAAAATATACATACAGTATATATGCAAAATTAAGAGCTGTAAATTTTTAATTAGAAGCCCAAGACTAGTTTATATATAATGAAATTTTAAGATATTTAAAATTTATAATTTTTTAATTTTTTTTAATTTTCATTCATTTTTGTTATACAAGATCCTGTAATTTAATTGGTCAATTATATTAATCTGTAATATAGCAATTGGTGATATTTAACAATATTTTAAATATATATATTTAATTTTTATATAGTAGTAAAATTATATTTCTAATTTGAAAATTACTTCAGAGTATAGTGATTTAGTGAAGTTGGTAAGTTATTACATTTTCAAGCAGCAGGACAAGAGTTTGAATCTTATTGGTAACAAAAATTCAAATTTACAGAATACATTTAGAAAACTGTATTCTGTTAAGTCAATATCTGTAACAGGGTCATACTAGCTTGTATTAAGACTATACATGCCAATGAAATTATTTTAGATTTTGGGATATGAAATTAAATTTGAAGATGAAATTGTTTTTGATCTATTTTACTTAAAAGATGATTATAAAGAATATAACTGCCTAAATTAGATATAAAAAATTTCAAATTGCTCTAATGGAGACAAAATAAGGTTTTTTGAAAACCTATTTTGATGGCATGTATAATTAAGATATAGTGGAATATTAGTGTGATATATGAGTTATACAATATCTAAGTGAAGCTGCTGAGTAAAACTAGCAGATTGAGATATAAAAGCTCATTTGGCAAGATCCAAGTAAAGAGATAGTACAAATCTTTAATAGTACTATATAAAGAATGATCATCTAAAAGTAATGAGAACCAAATGAAACTGAAGTGCTTAGCAAGATACTTTACCAACCAGAATGCTGAACAAGTAACCAGAAGAAAAGAACCTAACTGTGAGGATCAGAAGCAAGTCATAGCTTTTTGGATTATCTGAATTGGTAGTTTGAGATTATGGGAATACAGAAGATCATCTGTATAGTAGGTATTAAAGTTTGAATAAACTTTATAAGAGCAAAAAGTAGATAATAGTAGTGGTCTCAGCTCACAAGTACTTATTCTTAGACTTGGTATAAGTTACCGAAAAGTAAGGTTAGTCAGATTGTAAATACAGAAAACTCTAACAAAAATGTCTTGAGAATAAAGTAGTTCTATAGAAAGTAGGTTAAGCATTTAGGACTTTTTGACTTACAAATATAATGATAATGTATAGTAATACAAATAGTGTTGTATTACAAAGGGTTTAAATGAGTAACTTCATAGTTGAGTTACAGGTATAACACAGTATAGAATCTATAATATAAAAAGTTGTAGGCAAACTACTTAAATTAGACACCAAAAATATATATGTGGCTAGATATACTTTCTAATATAAGGGTTCTTATAAGGCATTAAGCCACAAATCCTAATTTAACAATACTTACATAAAAATTTTAGCCTCAAAGAGGCTATTTAAAAAAAATATATTTTATATTGCCTGCAATGATTATCATTACAATATCAATACTAAATATAAATAAATAAAGTATGTGATAATGCTTTATGATTAAAGTACAGATTAGATTAAATTTAAAGTAAAAGCAAAAGGATTTTACTAAAACGCACTTATGGTGTTTTACCACCTATGTTGTATTATCTCAAAAACTGGCTAATTAATCGTTGTTAGATGTTCTAAGTAAAAATGTTCTATGCCCCAAAAAACCCTTTCCAAACCCTAATTCTAACCTTAATATTAACTTTAACATGAAAAAATTGATGTTAAAAATTTTTATATACAAAACTTATAAAAACTTAGAAAATTTTAAAAAACATAATAAAAACATATAATAGGTACAAAACTACCATAGGTGCGTTTTAGAATAATTAAAAGCAAAATATAGTTTATATCAAAACATTGCAAAGAATTTTTTTTGTTAGGATAAAAGAATATTTTATAAGTGAATTATTGAACTATATATATTTTTTTTATTTTTTAGATAAATATATATGTCATATGCTGCAATATGTTTATATATTATATCTATATATAAAATATAATATGTTTATAACAATTAAAATAAATCAGAATATTTTTGTTTGATTAGAGTTAAGTAGAGTTAGGTTGCAATATAAGTAGATGTTTATAGTAATGAAGTGGTAAAGTTGTCACATCCCCAAGCAGCAGAACCAGAGTTCGAATCCTACTGGTGACAAAATTTAAATTTATGAAAAAATATATTTGGACGACTGTATCCTATTGGATTATAGAATCTGTAATGGGGTCACACCAGCTTGTACTGGGAGGCAGTGGAATGATAAGTATAACATATGAGTTGCATGACAGTAAAGCTGCCGAATAAATCCAGTAGATTGATGGGATACAGAAGCCTGCTTGGAAATACCCGAACAGAGAGGTAGCACAAACCTTCGATGGTATTATCTAATAATCTGAAAAGAGTGAACCAGACGGCAAGAAAAGGGGGAACCGAATGGCAGGAAAAGAGGGAACCAGATGGGACCGAAGTGTTTAGCAAAGCACTCCACCAACCAGGCCACAGGCTGAGTAACCGAAAGAAAAGAATCCAATCTTGGGTACCAGAGGCAGGTCACAACTCTTCTAGGCTATCTGGATTAGAAGTTTGATGAACTGAAAGTAGAGCTTAATTTGAGAAACCGAAAGTAGGGCTTAGTCTGAGAAACCAGAAATATGGATTGTTAAGTGTGTACTGGGGTTTGAGCAAACTTTGCAAGGACACAGAGTAGGTAATGGTAGTGGCTTTGGCTCACAAGTACTTGGCCTCAACCTAGACGTAAGTTACCAAAATCTAGATGATACATATGTGAGACATGGACCGCTCTAGTAGGTTTACTACAAGGTCAAAGGACCTCCTATATGGAAGTGTATGTCCGCTTTAAAGACTTAGCAGACCTTAGCGACAGGTTCCTCTTTAGGGAAGATATCCAATAGCGTGAAGTTGATTAGAGAGTTTAAATGGGTAATCTCATAGTTGGGTTACAGGTACAGCATCTAGTGTAGATCTAGGATAGGCAGACTACTTAAATAGGCACTCAAAAGTCGCAGATATAGCTAGAATATACTCTTATTAATATAACAAGATCAGGCACTGTTCATGTGACTATGCTGATATCAAACCAAAAGTTTAATAAACCATGCCAGACCTGTGAGTAGTCACCTTAACATTAAAAAAAAAAAAAAGATGTTTATAGTAAAATTTTACAAGGAATTTTTTTTGTTAAAGTGCAAAAAATAGTTTTATATATGAAATTTTGAATTATAAGCAACTTTTGTCAAAATGAATGTTTGTTTTAAATCTTTCTAATCATGCTATATTATATCTGATCTTGAAATTGATTGGTTAATCATCTTAAATGCAATATACTGTATAAGGATATTGCAGGTTGTGATGCCTAATTAAAACCTTATTTTTTATATTGTTTTTTTTAATTCTTTATATTATATTTAATCTTGTGATCTGATTGGTTAATCATATTACAGTAATCATTATTGCAGATAATAAATAGCAAATCTTTCTAATTTTATTAAAATTTAATTATTTTTTTTTAAGTATTAAAGCTAGCCCCTTTGGCTTATTAGTTTTATTAAGTGCATATTAAATTACTAGTATTTTTAAAGATTTTAAACATAGTATATTCTGACAAGAATACATATAAAGGCAGTGTTATTTATCAACTGATTTTTTTTATTAGAAGCTTACCTCTCTCCCTTCTCTTAATATATATTTTGATTAGGTCTTTATATAATTTTAAATTTTTTTACTCCTTTTCTCTTTTAAAAAACATCTAATTTTTGTCATATCCCTAAACATATATACTATATTCAACAAAAGTTTCCTCGCACCTCTAGCTTTCACTAGATCATATGCAGGCACATGAAATTTTATTCATATATAATATATTGTATATGCAGATTGTATTAACCTTCTTTGGACATAATTGATAGTAAAAATACCTGCTTCAATCATGTATGAAGTT